GCCATCACAGTGCCATAAGATGCTGCACACCGCAAGTGGTGATGCAGTGTTACACCAAAAGCCTTGGCACCTGGAGATCTGCGAAGAACCCAAGGCCTCCCAGCAGCCCAAGCCTGGACCCAACTTCATCAGAACGACAAGGAACCGCAGACTCAATGCTCCTGGAATCCTAAACCTTGCCGTGTGTAGAGTGAAATGCTCTGTGTACTCCATCTTGACTCACGTTAACTTAAGGCTGTTCTATGTCAAAGCCCTAAACATTACTTTTGAAGGACACCCCACGTGAATCTGGATTGCGGCGGGCTCAGGGCCGACAAATATCATGCATCCGGAGGGCATCCGTTCTCCAGCACGCCACCTTTCTTGGGGCTGGCCTACCCTCCCACCTGGATCCCAAACCTGAACCCCATCAAAGCTGAACCAACGAGGTTCCGAGGTTCGTAGTTTGGTGTGCCGATTGGCATCTCTGCTGAGTTCGAAAACTGCTGCCAACCGGATACGAAACGCAAGGTGAATTCAACACTGTGTCGGGCTTGCTGCTTTGGATGGTTCAGGGGATACACTAGAAGTCACTAGGCAAGAAAGGCAAATGAAGCAGCACAGTCTTAGAAAGACGAGCCAGATGACTGTCACAGTCTCTCACCGTACTTGCTCCTGAGACAACAACTTAACCGCGTTTCGGGGGGGGGGGGTTCGTGGGTTAGGTTAGGTTGAGATTGCGCAAGCAACTCAATACTAGAACGAGTCCCGGTAGCAGTGGTGGTAGCAGTAGCACTAGAAGTGGCAGTAAAACTAGAAGTAGTTGGTGTTAACGAACCTAGAGTATACCATTAGATTATAGGAAGAATAATAGGTCAAACATTATGGTATAATTCTAGTTCTATTTCCCACACAATATTACACCTATAAACTAATGAGACAACCTCTGATTTCGTTCCTGTTTTGTTTCTCTTTAATTCAATAGAACACGCACTTGTCTGTCTTTCCTTCGTTTGTTTCTATTGAGTTCGCCTCGGCCCCCGGCCGAAGC